AATAATTTAATATTTAATCTCGCAATTAGCTGCGCTGAATCTTATTTCTGATTAGTTTTAAATGACTATTATATATATAGTATTTGTATAGGCGCATATATTTATACGATAATGCTCCTCTAATATAAATTCGTGTGCAGTTGCATTCAATGCTTCTTTTTGTCAAGTGCGGGCGGTTCTTTCAACTTTGAATAGAAATTATAAAATATTTAGCATATTTAAACGTGGTTAATTTGAATTCGTTTTGCTCGTTGCAGCTTAATCGCAAAGTCTAAAGTTCAGTCCACATATCATTCAAGTGATTGGCATGCCGTAGCTGCAGTAGCCGAAGCAGCAGCAGCAGCAGCAGCATTAGCAGCCCCTTAATGGATCCATATCATCATATCAGACATCATGTGAGTGGCTTGACTTGAATATCTTGAATATCTCATATCTCATTGTATGCCCATTAAGAACTTCCTTTTACTTTCTATCTATCTCTCTTTGTCTGTCTCTTTGTGTACAGTATCCACCCACTAGCACAGCCAGCTCAACTATTGTTGGCAGCGGCACCGTCACCAACACCGGCTCAGTCAATCGACCAGAATTGCATCAAAAATGCAATCGTGGCTCTCATTCAAGTGACACAAGTTCAGCGTACAGCGGCAGCGACACAATGGCCTCTGTCTATGGCTCATCCCTGGAGGCCGAGGAGATTGATCTCTCCGGCCTCGTTGAGTCTGTGGTGGACTCCGATGAGGAAGATCTAGCCGAAAGCATGGATGTGAGTTGGTCATATCGAACAAGAGAATACAAAATATGTATAGAAGCTCCTGCGAAATCTTTGTTCTAATTCTTATCCTCCCTCTCTCTCTCTCTCTCCTGGTAGAGCCTAAACGTGCGAGATGCCGTACGCGATTGTCTCGAAAAGGATCCATCAGAGCGCAGCGAAGATGATGTGGAAATTCTGCTGGAGTTCACGCAGGGCCTCAAGGCATTCACAAACATAACGCTAGCGGTGCGACGGGCCCTCTGCTCGGTGATGGTGTTCGCTGTGGTGGATAAGGCCGGCACGGTGGTCATGTCGGATGGCGAGGAGCTCGACTCCTGGTCGGTGCTGATCAACGGTGCCGTTGAGATCGAGCATGCGAATGGCACACGCGAAGAGCTGCAGATGGGCGATTCGTTTGGCATTTTGCCCACCATGGATAAGTTGTATCATCGCGGCGTGATGCGCACCAAGTGCGATGATTGTCAATTTGTGTGCATTACCCAAACCGATTACTATCGCATCCAGCATCAGGGCGAAGAGAATACGCGCCGGCACGAGGATGAGCAGGGCCGGGTGGTAATGGTAACCGAGCTGCGTTCGATTGGCGGCAGCGGTGCAGAGAGCGCGACGACAACGGGCAACGGCTCGGCATCGGCAAATCTGAACACGAAGCGCGGTCATGTGGTCATCCGAGGCACACCCGAGCGTCTGCTGCAGCAGCTTGTCGAAGAGAACTCGATGACCGATCCAACATATGTGGAAGATTTTCTGCTCACGCATCGCATCTTCATACAGAATCCACAGGAGGTGACGCGAAAGCTGTTGCATTGGTTCGATCTGGAGCAGGCGGACACGCACAAGACCCAAGAGCTGAGGGATCGTGTCACGCGTGTCGTGCTGCTGTGGGTGAACAATCATTTTACCGACTTCGAGGCTGACCACGAGATGATGGAGTTCCTGGAGATCTTTGAGGCTGGCCTGGAAAGCAAGAAACTGTTAAGTCAACTGCGCTTGCTGCACATCGCGTGCGCGGCCAAGGCACGCATGCGCAGTTGCATTTTAACGCGTTCCTCACGCGATGAGGCGCTAAATTTTCAAATTATCGGCGGCTATGAGCTGCGAGGCGTGGCCGCAGCCACCGGCAATGCCTCGGTTGGCATTTACATATCGCACGTGGAGCCGGGCTCAAAGGCTCAGGATGTCGGCCTCAAGCGTGGCGATCAAATCCATGAGGTGAATGGCCAATCGCTGGATCATGTGACCAGCAAGCGGGCGTTGGAGCTGCTGACGGGCACCACGCACCTGAGCATTCAGGTGAAAAGCAATTTGCTGGGCTTCAAGGAGATTATGCAAGCACTGGAGCATGGCAGCGGCAGCAATTCAGCTGGCGGCGGCAGCGGCGGCGGCATCAGCAGCAGCGGCAACGGCAGCTTCAAGAGTTTGCGCAGTCCGCGTCGCATTTGCGCCAATGATATTGCCAAGCTGCATGGCCGCAGCGACAGCACCACCGAAGAGCTAACGAGCCGAGCGCACATGGTGCGCCTGAGTTCCGTGGACATGTTGCTCGATCAGCCGGACTGTGCGCCGCCACAGACGCCGCCCGTGAGCGGCGGCAACATGGCTGCAAATTTCATGCAACAGCTGCTGCAGAGCGTCAACTCGAACTCGGCCAAGAAGTGCAGTGCCGAGGATGGCAAGCCGGGTGGATTTATGACGCTGGCGCCGAAGCGTCGACTGCAGAAAGCCTTGGCCAAAATGAATCTACTCAAGCAGCAGCAGCCGCACGTGGGCAGCCTGAACGACAGCGCCGATACGCTGCTCAATGAGCCGCAATCGAAGCCAAAGCTGTCGACCGCCAGCTCGGGCAGCAGCAGCTGCAATTCGACCAACGGCGGCTGCAATGCCACCACTGTCGGACGTTTGTATCAGTCGCAATCGAATCCGGATCTGAGCAGCCTCAACTATGACAACAACATTGAGTCGTCTGGCACGCTGCAGGTCAACTATTTGCAGTCTCACATCCATCGCCCCTCGGCGGCCAGCACGCTGACGAGCAGCTCCATGCTGCCGCCGGACTATCCGGAACATGTGCTCAAGGTGTACAAGTCGGATCAGACGTGCAAGTATGTGCTCATCTACAAGGAGACGACGGCCCATGAGGTGGTCATGTTGACACTGCAGGAGTTTGGCATCCATGATCCCAGCTCGAATTTCTCGCTGTGTGAGGTGAGCGTTGGGGAGGGCGGCATGGTGAAGCAGCGTCGCCTGCCCGACCAGCTGCAGAATCTGGCCGAGCGTATCAGCTTTGCGGCACGCTACTATCTCAAGCTAAACGACAGCACCGAGCCGCTGGTGCCGGACGAGCTGGCCCTGGAGCTGGTGCGCGAGTCGGGCGTTCATTTTCTCCAGCTGAACGCGTATGAGCTGGCCATACAGCTAACACTGCAGGACTTTGCGAACTTCCGGCAGATCGAGTCCACGGAATATATCGACGAGCTGTTCGAGCTGCAATCGAAATACGGCGTGCCCATGCTCAGTAAATTCTCGGAGCTGGTGAATCGTGAGATGTTCTGGGTGGTCAGTGAGATTTGCGCCGAGCACAATATCGTGCGGCGCATGAAGATCGTGAAGCAGTTCATCAAGATAGCGCGCCACTGCAAGGAGTGCCGCAATTTCAACTCCATGTTTGCCATCATATCGGGACTGGGCCACGGCGCCGTGTCGCGCCTGCGCCAGACCTGGGAGAAGCTGCCCTCGAAATATCAGCGGCTGTTCAATGATCTGCAGGATCTGATGGATCCCTCGCGCAACATGTCCAAGTACAGGCAGCTCGTATCGGCTGAGCTGCTCGCCCAGCATCCCATCATACCGTTCTATCCGATTGTGAAAAAGGATCTGACCTTCATCCATTTGGGCAACGATACTCGGGTCGATGGCCTGATCAATTTCGAGAAGCTGCGCATGCTCTCCAAGGAGGTGCGCCTGCTGACGCACATGTGCAGCTCACCCTACGATCTGTTGGCCATATTGGAGCTGAAGGGCCAGACGCCATCGAATGCGCTCTTCTCGCTCAACCAGATGTCCGCCTCGCAGAGCAATGCCGCTGCCGGCACGGTGATTGCGGCCAATGCCGGCCAGGCGACGATCAAGCGACGCAAGAAGTCGACCGCGGCGCCGAATCCCAAGAAAATGTTCGAGGAGGCGCAAATGGTGCGACGGGTGAAGGCCTATTTGAATAGTCTCAAAATACTGAGCGATGAGGATCTGCTGCACAAGCTCTCGCTGGAGTGTGAGCCACCGCACGGCTCCACCTACTCGGGCAGCATATCGCACGGGAATAGCTCGCATCGCAGCGCCGGCAGCGGCAGCATCAATGCCGGCAACACCGGCACCGGCAGCATCAATGCCGGCGGGGATCAGCTGAGCATCTATTCGCACACCAGCTCCAGTTCGGCGCCAAATTCATCGCTGTCGCTGCGCAAGCGACACCCCAGCTCGCCGACGCTCTCCACGACCAGCTCGACGAGCTCCACCAGCGACAATCAGCGTCGCCAGCAGCTGCACAACAATGGACCCAAATTCGGCACCGCCTCACCGCAGGCCGTCAAGAAAATGCTCTCGCTCTCGGAGTCTTCGAAAATACGACCACATCAGCCGTTCGTGCCGCGGCACAGCTCAGCGCTGCCCGGCGTCCTGCCGCCGCTGCATCATTTACATGCGGCGCATGGCTTCAGCACGCCGGCCGGCGCCGGAGGCGGCATTGTGCCAGCTGCTGGTGCTGTGGTGCCGCCGGGCGTGGCCAATGCTCAGTGCACGCCCAGTCCCAGTCCGTGTGCACACCGACGTCTGGCATCGGGAGGTAAGCAGCATCTGCTATTCCCTAGACTTGAGCGATTAGCGAGTTCTGAGTATTTCTGTGCTGGTTTATGGCTGGATTAGGGAATGTCAATCATTGACCTAAGTAAATCTGTTGACTTGGTATTTGAAAAGGAAATTCGACTGATATTTAGAATATGGGAAAAACAAAAGATTTAAATACTTAAAGTGTATTTAAGACAAGTATAATAGAGATTACAGTTGAGCAGATTTTCTATGTATATAGAAATGGTGTTCTGTTAAATCATGGCTAGTTCTAAATGCCTCAAAATAGGTACATATATTTTAATAATATTTAATATAACTCAAACTAACAAATATTTTAGAGAATTTTGAAATGTTAGTCACTTTTCATTTCATGTTAATGTAAAGATTAATGTTAATGTTACTTAAAATGGAGCGAAAGAAAATGGAATCAGTATTGATAGGAAGTACAGTAGTACTCCTCTTATAGCGACGAAATTTCTGGACCCCAGACAAACTTTTATGAGCAAACTTCTACGGTTATAGCGCTTTCCGGGTAAGACGACGGTCGCTTGAGTGTCGTTATAACCGGATTCTACTGTATTTAGGTTTCGCTTCGATTTTATTCAATTCATTTTGAGTACATTTAATTTCAACTTGGGTTTTTTGGATTTTCCATTCATGCATGGCTCTAATACATATGTGAATATAAATGTAAATATTTACATATCAATATAATTATTTATATTACTATAGCTGCAATAGGTGCCTAAAACAGCTGTTCTCCTAAATTGCTGAATAATTAATTTATAGAAAAAGAAAAACAAAAAAAAATGAGAACTTTTATACCCTTAACTCATTGAAAATGAGCTTAATGCTTTAGCAAAAATATATACAACAGGCAAAAAGAGGCGAGGCAGACGCTAATTATTAACCATATTCCATTCCATTTCGTATTCCTGAGATTATCCAATCGATCTCTATTGATAAGTAATTGCTCTGCATGTGTTTTAAGTTGTGTATGTATAAAGGAATTACTCGCAGGGTATTTACTAGTCGTGCACTCCCATAACAGACAATATAAATTGATTGTATTTTAATTGATTCGATTTCCTTTACTCTCCTGCTTCAGGTAACATAATGCCCACACGTGCGATACACGAGCGCTCGCACTCGGACACGCCCGCCCCGCCGCCGCCGTTGCCATCGGTGGACCTATCGCTGGAGAGCAGCAGTGTGACAACGTTTCGTGACTTACCGTTGCGCAAATCCGTGACTTCCGGTAAGTGAATAACGCCCGAAAGCATTGAAAAACTTTCGCCCTGTCGTCATGAAACTAAACGCTTAGACACTGCCTACTAAAAACTAAGAGTTCCATTTTAGCATATATACTAGTTAATAATAAGTATCATGCATAGTTGTAGCATAAATTTAGTTGGCGTTTAGATAATATGTAAAGTTAGTTGTGCTTTAGTATCAACCCCCGCTCCTCGCTTGCATTTGGCTGTTATATATATTATA